AAAAAAAAACGTTATGAAAGCAGACCAACTTGCAATAAGCAATAGTAACTTCTCCTTTTGCCCGATAGTAAGCAGTAGACTCTTTACGTCTCTGTCATGCCCCATGTGGTCTGTACATCCGATTGCTTCCACGGTGCCGTCATTCCGCATGCGGCACTAAAAAGTAGTTGTTGGAGGAATGCGGCGGGATGAGAGATAGAAAAACGAAACTAACCAATCACAATCATTACATAAAAGTCCAGTACCTTTATGAATGCAGTACAGCGCTTGGCGGAGCTAAGTGATGTATTCTCCGGGCAAGAACTGCAGCGATGACATGCATACTCGGCAGCTTGCTCACTTTTGATGGGCAGCATCCGAAAGGAGGTGCACGTCCGCTCTTCGACATCAGATTTCCACTCCTGGAATCAATAATCATGCGAAAAATTCAACTGCTTTCTATGTTTCTCGAATACTCACCAAAAATTCATCAACGGTATCGAAAGATAGATCAAATACTTTGAAATTTTGCTTCGTTTCCGCTTTGTGTCGCTCAGCACAGTGATACAGATATTCCTCGCAACTCTCAAACAAGTTTTCGCATCCATCGTTAGCACACACGAATCCCACAGATGCTACGGTTGATGTCAAAGGCTCATCACTTGCATGCCTTTCTTGCAAATGAGAACTCAAAGCACGCTTCGTCCAAAACGATGAGGCACAGTGTTTGCATTTGAAAAGCGTCGGAAGATGAGCTGCAGACTCCATAGCTGAACCAGATCCCAAACGCTTTAGCAGGACATCGCGTTCTTCATCAGTATAATTGTGGACAAAAACAACATGTTCTCCCAAGTGATCCTCTCTGAACATCGCACCACACTCCGGACATTCAATGCGCTCGCCATGACTCGGCCCCGGTTTGGAAGAGACTAAATATCACATTCTGGAGTGCAATGATAACAAATGGCCAAATTTTCACACAAATCAGAGCCTACCTGCCCGATAAAGAAAGCACTTTTGACCGATATAGCTGTTCACAAAGAATTGCTTTGGCTTCGGCCAACATTACCGCTGTTACTGCTGCTACTGTTTGCCTTCACTGTTGTTACGATGTTAGCGCTAGAACTCAGCAGTGGGTGGGAAAAGATTGTAGAGATACTCTTTATCGTTGATGGTGTCATAGTTCGACCGCAATAACACAGTAACCGCGGGACAGCGGTAATAGCAGCTAAATGCATGACCGAATCTTTAGCCAGTGGGGTGTACGCTGTTAGAGGTAGTGAACAGGCAAAATGAACCTTCCCCGGATTTTGGTGGAGTTAGGTGGTAGACCTCCCTAGTACACCATAGCCGAAACCCCTCCCGTCAATCCATGCGCTATGTCCTGAAAAATGACTTCAAAACTCCACCAACCCCCCACTTCCATTGAGTGAGCGTTATTGGCGGAGTTCTGAAGAGCATTTTTCAAGACTTAGCGCATGAAATGGCAGGTGGTTGGGGTTTGAACTATGGTGTACTTGAGGATATACTACCTAACTCCGCCAAAATCTCAGAAGGGTCCATTTTGCCTGTCCACTAAATTGAGTCTTCGCTTGTTTTTTGTTGAGTAATATATCGACTTGGTAGAATACAAGCACCATTAGGATAAACGATGAAATTCTGTCAGCTGCAAGATTTTTATAGTGAAACAAAAGCTCCCAACAACAATGGGTGGTCCTTAAGCTGTGGAGAGTTTAGTAAAACTCTTGCGATATGAAAAGTATGAGCAACGCATGTT